GATGGTACCCTATGCCCAACTCCGGCACCCACATCACTCAACCTCTTACCCTCCGCATCGGCAACCATCTAGATAGGGCTATTACCTGTGAGGTTGGCTCGTTTGCAGGTGAAGACCTCGTCATACCACATCGATGGCTCAAGGAGCATCAACCAACCATCCATTGGGGACGCAACAGTGTCAGCTTCCATAGCAACAACTGTATAGTCCATGGATGCTTCGTATCAGTCGAAGACATATACGATCAAGACCCAGAAGAGCTGGTCATCAGGCTGTTGAGGGCGTCACCCAAGAAGCAGATGACGATCGAGCAACACCCCTTTTGGGCAAGAGCATCGGTAAACGAGGCTCTCGTTAGTGCTATACCGGTGGAGTTTCAGGAATTTGCCGACGTATTCTCCAAGGAAGGAGCCGCTCGACTACCTGATCACTCTGAATGGGATCATACCATTCCTCTTATGGGAGGGAAAGCAGCCGCCGTGGGGACCGATCTATTCGCTCTCCCCACCTGAAGATAAGGCACTCCGGGAGTATTTGGACGAGAACTTGCCCTCCGGCAAAGTAGTCCCCTCCACTAGCCCAGCAGCGGCACCCGTCCTGTTCGTTCCGAAAGCTAATGGTAAGCTTCGGTTATGTGTCGACTTTCGTGGTTTGAATGGAATCACAATCAAGAACCGTTATCCACTGCCACTCATGAACGAGCTGGCCGACGCAACGAAAGGAGCACTCTACTTCACGAAGATAGACCTGAAAAATGACTATAATCTGATTAGGATTGCTAAGGGCGAAGAATGGGAAACCGCTTTCCGAACGAAATACGGCCTTTTCGAATATAGGGTAATGCCTTTTGGCTTGACCAACGCTCCTGCGTCGTTTCAGGTCATGGTCAATACCATATTCAAGGATCTTCTAGATCAAGGCGTAGTAGTCTACTTGGATGACATCTTAATGTATTCGAAGACTAGAGAAGAGCATACGACTCTTGTACGGGAAGTTTTGGAGCGACTGCGACGACACCATCTATACGGAAACCTCGAGAAAACGGAATGGTATCAACAGGAGGTAGAATTCCTGCGATTTATACTATCAGGAAAAGGGAACCGAGTATCACCAAAAAAAGTCCAGGCGATCGAAGGTTGGTTAGTCCCAACCAAGGTCAAGGAACTTCAATGCTTCCTCGGTTTCGCCAATTTCCTAAGACGGTTCATCCACCGATACTCTGAGGTTTGCAGACCTATGACCGATCACCTGAAGAAAGGTGCCGTATGGAAATGGGGCAGGGAACAGCAAGATGCGTTCGATGAGCTCAAGAGGAGATTTACGTCTGCTCCAATACTCCGACACTATGACGAACACCGCGAAGCAATCGTGGAGACTGATGCGAGTGACTGGGCCGAGGCCGCAGTACTCTCCCAGGTATTCGAGGACGGTATCCTACATCCGGTAGCTTACCACTCTCGCAAGTTCAACGAGGCAGAGGTTAACTATGAGATCTACGACAAGGAGATGCTCGCAATAGTTTCTGCTCTCTTGACTTGGAGACATTGGCTGGAAGGGACGGACATCCGTATCCAGATACATTCGGATCACCAAAACCTGCAGTATTTCACAACGACCAAGAAGTTGTCGAGGAGACAAGCCAGATGGGCCGAAAAGAGAGCACCTTTCCGCTTCAAGATCCATTACCGACCAGGCGAAAAGAACGGCAAGCCAGATGCACTCACCAGGCGTCCGGAGTTCGCAATGGAAGGGGGAGTAATGCGTGAGCAGCCCGTAAAACAGCTACTCGGTGCAGAACAGTTTGTCAGAAAATCACGGACCAGCGTAGAAACTGGGCCTGAAGTGATTGGCAACCCGAAGAGGAATGGAATCAGTTGGATCAGTGGTACGAGATACCGAGCGTAGAGCTGCCTCAGCCACTACAGGGTTGGTATGAACAGGAAAGACGTTGGGTTCGGAGGATGGTTCCGGATGAACACCTCCCTGACTCAAACCTGGAGATCTTTGGACCACCGGAGGCTGCTATCGTAAAGGTAGAGCCTGCCGCTGAATGGAGTCCCGATTCGAATGGCCCACCCACGATGGTCGATGGGTAGTACCGGGCTATGAGGTCAAGCAGGTCATTGAGGAACATCATGATCGACCCGTAGCGGGGCACCTAGGAAGGGATAAAACCCTTGAGTTGATTGATAGGAACTACTGGTGGCCAGGAATGTCCACCGATGTAGCCAACTTCGTCAAGACTTGCGATGTATGTCAGAGAGCCAAGCAACGTCGGAGACACTTGTCACTCCCTCAACCCCTAGAGTTAGCCACCACACCTTGGACTGATATCTCAATGGATTTCGTAGTAGAAATGCCTAAGGAGAAATCAGGATTCCGCAACATATTGGTAGTCGTGGACCGTTTTACGAAAATGGCTCACTTCATTCCAATGACGGGAATTAACGCGGAAAAGACCACTAACGCATTTGTCAAAGATGTCTGCCGTTTCCACGGACTTCCTAGAAGCATCGTCTCTGACAGAGGAACACAGTTCGTATCAGCATTTTGGACGGCAATCACGGAAAGATTGGGGATTCGTAGGAGACTCTCTACTTCATTCCACCCGCAAACCGACGGCCAAACAGAACGGACCAACCAACATATGGAAGGTTATATTCGGGCATATACGGCAGGGACAGGCAAGAAATGGAAGGACCTGTTACCCATCTGCGAATCCGCCTACAATAATGCGAAGCACACGTCGACAGGACAATCGCCGTTCTACTGCAACTATGGCTTCCACCCCCGAACGGACTGGCCTACGGACGCAGAGATCGAACGACTAGATGCTACTGGGAATAACTACTTGGATGAGATCATCACGGCTCATGAGTTAGCGAGAGACACGCTACAGAAAACTTTCGACAGGATGGCGTCAAAGCCAGGACCAGCAGTACAGCGGTTCACTATTGGTCAGAAAGTCTTGCTGGATACTCGGAACCTAGGAGGATACTCCAAGTGGTCGGATAAATTCACAGGGCCATTTACAGTATCAGCAGTGGTGGGCAGTCGGGCTTACCGCCTTGAGCTTCCGGTAGAATAGAAGGTTCATGACGTCTTTCACGAGATGCTGCTGCGACCCTACCGTGAGGATCCGGATTCTACCAGAAAACAGAATGCACGAAAGCGACTGGCAACACCCGAGCGACAGGAGGCATTGGCAGACGAGAACTTCCAGCCAACCTTGAACATACGACCCCATACGCGAAGTCAAGGCCCAGCGATCGATAATGACCGGGCTCATAAACGACAACGGAACAGGCGAGACTAAGCTCGATACCTTTCCCTACTCTATGACTTTTCCCACAGGGTTTTTATCATAGAAGGGTTTTAACGGTCGAGGGCGACGTCTAGGAAGAGGGAGTAGTGTTACAGGAACTATGGAACACTGTTCTAGAGGCTGAGGACAATGAGGAATACGAGTGACGGGTTGTGATGCGAGGACGGTCGGGTAACAAGGACAAGCATAGAAAGGTATCGGGTAGTGTGGGGGCACACGGTGTTACCACACTAGTGTTATACTATTATGACGGCACGCTTACCATTGGGTGTCTCACCCGGAATAGAATGGGGAGCGGGGCTTACGGCTGTAGGCTGTTCTACTTAGGGAAGTAGGTCTAGGATGATAGTATGGTACAGCCCGATGACTGGCAATTGCAAGCTTCATGGTTACGTGTCGGAATTAGAATGGAGGACGGAACTATGCGGGGGCGCTTTTCTATCTGGGTTATCTTCAGGAGCATTATCTTATTCTATTGTCGTTGTGTCAGTTAGTATTAGAAAGCGGGCCTTGGCATAGGTTCCAACATGTATAAATAGGGCTTGATTCTGCGAAGACTTGAGGGTATCATAAAACCATCAAGTCAAGGGAATCCGGTTTACAATATCATCAGTTTAAACGCTACAGAATTATCGCTTAGCACTAGCCATTTTCCTTAACATTACCAAGGTTCATCCTTTCTCACAGTGACCTTTTTGTCTTGAATTGGGTCTCCGTATTAGTCACCTACTCCACTATTTCCCAGCATCAGCAAGAAGGATCCCCAGACCCTTACCCAATTCTCAACCAAGAAGTTTATTGTGTGCGGAGGTAGGCTGCTAGCGATATGTACTAGACCGCAGTGACGCCAAAATGTGCAGCTTTCCAAACTTCATGATGATGTCCAGAATCCCATCTTCCAGTTTCAATTCTCGGGAAACCAGCACCAAATTAACTCCAACATTTTTCCCTAGTCGGAATCTTACGCCTAGCAACGTATGTAAGTTGGGTAAATTGGAGGATATCTGGACTGCTAATTCCTAGTGTCTGAGTTGTAGATATCGGATATTTATATATTCTTAGTTGTACAAGTTGATGTGTACGGTTTCCTGGGAAGGGTCAATCCTTTGGAACTGTTATGACTTCGGCTGTGCATTGAGGTAACTTCAACGAGGTAATTGTTAGAGCACTGACAGACTTGTGGAAGTGTTTGGTATACCTCGTCCTGTTCCACAATTCTTTTGATTTCAACTTCGGGACTTGTCACAACCAACAATGTGATGCTGGTGGCCCGCAGAGCGGTAGGGCAAATGTGGCCGTCTTGCGTAATGCGCTTTTGTAAAGTCTTTTTGAGCCATGGATAATATATTTTAACTCCTCTTATTTGTGTCCTTCACGATAGCTTGAGTCTCTTTGGGTAGTGGAGAGTGTGGGTATAGTCCCTGTGACTGCCTGAACGTAGTTCCTCCATTCACGGCTTTTCGCTATACACGGGTGTCATGTCTCGTCATAATCCATGGTGCATTTTCATTTGTGGCATCCTTAGGTCTCGTGACCTTCTAACGCGTCCATCGCAAAAGTCAGAGTCATTCCTAACACATCCTCTGCACAAGCAAGGCCTTGCAGCTTGCAACACCACAGCAACCCTCCACATACCGCAACCTGGTTTTACCCCACCGCTGCGCAAAACACCACGATGACCAACCCCGCCGATGAGAACGCAATGAATGGAGCAGAGTCTAGTACAACCGGTGCTCTCCCCTCGGGTACCATTCACAGAAATGCCCGAGCCGGATCCACAAGACTGATCCCTTCCGACATGTTGCCGGTCCGGGTTTGGAACTTTCATGCTCCGGGCTTTGGAGAATTTTACCGAGCGCCAATTCCAGCTGCAATTCCTCCAAAGGTTCTAGTCGCCACTGCTGCCGCACTGCCTGCCGCAACCCCTGCCGCAACTCTCGTTGTAGCTAATGCCGCAATCCAAGCCGCCTCTCCGTCCAGGAACGCTGCTGGTCAGAAGCACCCCCTCGTCGACAGCGACAGTAGCGACGAACCTCCTAGAACCCGTGTCAGGGTGTCCGGTGGGGAGCCGTTGTGCATCTCTGAAGAATGTAAATACAACACTTTCAATACTTGACATACATCATATCAAGCTACAGCTTCCTAACAATACATAGTGGATGATGAGAGCGACTGGTCGACATGCAGCTCTGCAGAGTGTAAGCCCGAGATTTCTAATTCTTGACAGCTATCGAGGTAGCGCTTGCTAACACTGCCTAGCGGAGGATGAGCCGAGGCCCGTCACCGAGTACATGCCAGCGGATCGCTATAGTTGGGCGGCGAATATCCTGAACCAGCTGATGTACGCGGAGTTTGCGAATTCTGCCGAGATGGGGGCGTTCTAATTTTCTTGCCCGTGAGAGTACACAATTTGGGGGGTACAAGTATCCATGATAGATAGGTAGGCAAAGTGGAAAGATAAATGAATGAATTATCGTCGATCTTGCTCGGTGTCTTGAGTAGCTCCAGGAGCGTTAGATTTTGATGTGATTAAACGGGGGCTAAGCTAGTTCTTCTAACCTTTTAACCCGTCGCTGGTTTTGCTCGCCGGTTGTTAATTGTGCTTACTGTGTGGCTTCGTCGACGATGCAATAATGAGCGAGACAACGGCCAAGCCTAGGAGCATGTATATTTTGATGATGGCAAAGATTAAACAGGAAAACTACACGCGTCTGGGGGTTGTGGGTGTGTCGGTCGGTGGTGCCTGTGTGTCGCCCCTCCAAACCCTATGTCTCTGCCAGCCTTTTCTTTAGCTACTAGTAACTAAAACCCAGCAAACAGCCACACAGACTATCGTATTACTAGCCGTTTGCCCCTAGCGCGCCTAGCAACGTCTGTACAAAGCTGATGATCTTGCTTTAATTCTCTTTTTTCTTCTCTTTTTTTCTGCAACGGTAGAAAATATCTTGTTACTGAAAGGAAAATTAATTCTTCCGTTATAATAATACCCCGACAAAATACACGAACCTAGTCTGGGGAAACTATATATATGACGGTATCTATTGGTCTTTCATACCATCCCCTACATATCCAGAGTTTTATCCTCTAGAGTTGAGATCACCGCCCCCCCGTTCACTATAAAGAAGAATTAGTAGTGCGGGATACACATTGAACATAGCAATTTACATGTAGTGAGAAATACTCGGGAGTGATGAGCACGCCATCTTTCCAAATTTCCCCCTGGACCTTTTATATTATATATCAAGAACCTTCCCGACAGCCCATCTGCTCTAAATGTGCCTACCACCTATTTCTGAATTAAGAATCCGAATAATGAAAACAGAAAAAGGGATTTGGAACTAGGATTCGCGCGACGGGGGGGGGGGGTGTAGAAACAATGTAGTTGTTTCCCATTCGGCATTCGGCCAGGGGTTACTTGTGTCAGAGTCTGTTTCTGTATGAGGGCATGCTAACTTGAAGGAACCTCGACGGAAAGGTTTTCTAAACCTATGGGAATTCCAGTCCTACATCCGGGATCGAGAAACTTCAGGTAGCAAACAAACTCTAGGAATGGTAAAGGAATAATAAATAAAAGTTGGTTAAGGTTTCTTCAATTCTAGTCAGCTTTCTCCAGAGGTAACCGTGTTTGGACGCCGGGGCTAGGTTTTGCTCATCATTCATTAACTTGGACCAGTGTTGTAATTCTTCGGAAACTTTCATTCCATCGATACGGGTATACTAGTGGAGGCTGCAGGATAAGACTTGAAAATTCAAATATTGATAGGTTATTCTTATATTGCGGTTCCTCTTTATTGGGAACTCGTGATATTCATGACTGTAGATAGCACTTATAGAGTCTTGAGATGTCTCTCGAGATTCTGCTAAATAGTAAATACCAGCCACGAATAGAGAACTTTGGCCAAGGCGACACGATATATTAGTCTCGTGCTTAGTTGCTCGCGGCCAATGTTGGGGTGAGCATTTCTAGCATGTTAGACGATCTATATTTAGTGCTATAGGGTAGATTCTTATTCTCGCGTTGCGGAATTCAAGACCATGTAACCAACCTGCAGACATCGCCACGTATCATTTAAAAAATATATTCGACCTGACCTGCAAGCTATTTCACTTTTCAACCACATGGACAAAAAGCGTTTCAGTTAGGGGATAATACTTATAACGACGCCGAAGGTTTTTCTTGAAATGTTCTGCCAGCTTGCTAAGTGATTTCCATCGCGTGCCTAACAAAAAACCCTACGAATTCAGTTTGTAGCGCTCTCAGAATTATCGACTAAGATAGATTAAGAGAGAGTTCTCTTCCTTCTGCCAATATGTGAAGACTCTCTCTCACCTTCCAAAACATTCCAGTGGAATTCGAGGCGTACATGTATTGAGGGGACGGACATATAGGTTTTGTACCTACTGAGGGGATGTTCGCGTAGGTTTTTGTTTGGGGAAATGGCCAGTGCTAAGCAATAATTCTGTAGCGTTTAAACTGATGATATTGTAAACCGGATTCCCTTGACTTGATGGTTGATGATACCCTCAAGTCTTCGCAGAACCCAGCCCTATTTATACATGTTGGAACCTATGCCAAGGCCCGCTTTCTAATACTACTGATACAACGATAATAGAATAAGATAAGACTCCCGAAGATAACCCAGATAGAAAAGCGTCCCCGCATAGTTCCGCTCTCCATTCTAATCCTGACACGTAACCATGAACCTTGCAATTGCCAGTCATCGGGCTGTACCATACTATTATCCTAGACCTACTTCCTTAAGTAGAACAGCCTTCAGCCGTAAACCCCGCTTCCTATTTTATTCCGGGTGAGACACCCAATAGTAAGCGTGCCGTCATAATAGTATGGGCCTAGCGTGGTGACACCGCGTGCCCCCCACACTACCCGATACCTTTCCTATGCTTGTCCTTCCGTTACCCGACCGTCCTCGCATCATAACCCGTCACTCGTATTCCTCAATGTCCCAAGCCTCTAGGACAGTGTTCCGTAGTTCCTGTAACAGTTTTGCACCGTGCACGTTTGGCTGATTTTGGTATAGGTGGTACTTAAGGTCACCTACTTAACACCTTACAACCAAACTCTTCTCCTACCTCCTTCACACCACATACTCTCCTTCCCACACACATCTCCTCACAAACCAACAACCTACCAAAACAGTAAAGGAACAAAGTATCAGGTCAAAAGTAACTAGGTAGGCTTCTAGTTATCCTACTCAAGTATCAAAGCCTAACAACCTTAGCAGTCATGCCTCCCACTCATTCCCCTGACCCTCAGTATTCTCAGTACCTAGCGAACATGTTAGCCTCATGCCGCAACAAAATAGCTCGCTTTACTGAGGAGCTCGTTTCGACCTACAAGCGGCGACATTGCACAGCTGCTATGCTTACCTTCGAACGGATTCAGCTCCATCAAGACGGTTACGCTACAACGCCACCGTCTGCCGATGTTGCTTGTAATGAGCCAATGGAAATCCAGGTGACACGAGCAGCAATCGAAAATATGGTGCAGGATCTGAGATTTCTAGAAAACTGGCGTGAATACATTGCACGGCAGATGTACGAGATGAAGGCGGCAGAATTAAACCTCATGGTGGATATCAAAGCGGATAACGACTTGCTCGAGAGGAACAGTGCCTTCGTGAAGTTGGATGCTGGTGGGATCCTGGTGTGTTCTATTTCATCCCCTACAGTGATGGGTTTTCCTAACATATTATAGACAGGGATTTCATCCACGGAATATCTCTCGACTACCGTTTTGTTTGGCCACTCGGTGAATACTGGCTCATCCGCTAGTGAGTAACCCATTCGTAACCTACCCGCGAATACTAGTACTGGATCGTCCATGATGGGAAGATTTTGAAGAAAACAATGGCAGGGAGTAGGGTCTTTATAGAACGGAAATATCGGGATCTAGCTTTCATTAGTTTCGCTCTTCGCTACCTATTAGAAATAAAGGTATTCCCTTTTTTTTTAAATGAACTATTTACCTGTAACAACAAGTCGTCAATTAAATCCTTATAAAAACTTGAAATTGTTTCATCTAATATTTCTCTCTCTTCGTTCTGACTGCCTGAACACAGGTGACACTCGTAACATGAGGAATGCAGAACTAATTCCTCCCACTCTCCCATGCCCTAGCCATTCGTGAATCGGTTCTCTTTATCTTTCTGATCTATTCAGGTAGCGTAGGAAAAGGCAATTATTGATAAGAAAGAATCGCCCCATATAGATTGAAAAACATGAGAGATAAGTACTTAAGTGTGTACCGGAAGGTTTCCATCCCTAGCGAATGCCTTAATACGGTAATTAGGCAGAAGAATCTTACGCAGTAAGAAAGGCCGTGTATTTACAGATAGATCTGGGTGGAACCGTTAATTTGGAAACTGACTAAGCCTATGTTTTCAAAGCGAGGCACAATGTCCCAGGCACGAGCCAGGGCGGAGGGTGATATGGCCAAGACTAGCCCAGAAAATGGCATCGGACTGGAATAGACCATTTTGAAAAATCATGGACCGGACCGGACTGGACGAAACCACGATGGACGAGTCTAGACCGCATAACAGTATTTTATTCCAAATATTGATACAAAAACCATTTATTGATGGTTCAAGCCCTGCTCTCTTGCAAGCTTTCTCAGGACATTCAGTTTATTTTCTCCAAAACCAATTGATATAGTAGGTGGAAGAGCGTTTTCCGAGTGGGCCAGATATTACTAGATGGACCTGTCCATTTTCTGGTATGGACTGGACCCAGGGCTTCCAATGGGCCCTGTCTTATATGGGCTTGCCCGGACTGTTAATAGGCTGGGTTGGGCCGGGCCGGTGTCCTTTCGGGCCCGGGCTATTATCCCTGGACTTGGGCAGGAAAACTGGCATTGTTCGAACACCAAAATGTATTTCGTAGATGGAAGAAAGATTAAATGTGCTGAGAAAAGATGAACTGCATCTATTTTAATCATTTAATGCACTTTAGATTTATATCCCCGATTTATGGGCTACTTGGGCCTAGCCCGGGCGTTTGTTAAATGGGCTGGGCTTGGTCGGGCTGGGCGTTGTCCGGCCCCGGCGAGCCCATTGGAAGGCCTGACTAAACCGACCATTTAGAGAAAGTTGTCATTCCAGTCTGGTTCGACCATTTAGCGGACCGGTCTGGACTGAATAGGGGGCGGACTGTTTCCACCTCTGGCCAGACAGGCATCACACCTGATCCCGCGAGGTGCAAAAGCCTGCCTGGTCTCCCCAATTTTCAGGAGGAGCGCAAAACCTACTGTGGTTGCCACTCTCGATCAACCACGCCGATAAAAGGCAGATCGACATTCGTAAACATCCCTCTCACACTAAGTCTTCACCAACCTTCACACTCTACCGAACTTCAAATATAACAACCAAACAATGTCTCAAGAGGAACAGATGCCTCAAGCAATGGTTGAATATCCCCCCCGCCCAATGGGCAACAGGTAAACCTGCCGTTATTCCCCATATTCATTCACTATATTTCATCTGTCCTGACAATCCACTATAGGGCGCGTTCCAAGTCTCTTTTTTCCGTCATTCCTCTCTTCCAAACCTTTCTTCACAACGCTCGCCAGGAGCTTCTCACCAGCCAGAATGACCTCACTGTGTCATTCAGGCTTAGACGTGCGACGGCCTGCAAGCTCGCCTTCTATCGTGCTATGCTTCGTAGGCTACAATACAACCCGATAACCCGCAGCACCAGAGCTGGGCCCAATAGCGGAGTGCCAGTCCTCATCCCGTGGATTCTCACCCAGATCAGAAGGGAAAGGAGCAACCTAGTCATAAACGATGAAAATCGTAGATTGCTTCGTAGCAGCATTGAGGATCGAAGGGCCGACGTGGTGACTTTTCTGAGGCAGATCGAGATCGAGGCCGACTTGGACAAGGCATGGAAGCTCAGGTACTCCGGATTGATTGGTATGTAGTCTCCTTTCTCATTTCTTTTGCCTTCTCCGTTTCCTTCTCTATGTTTTTCACACCCCCCGGCCCTCAACTCCCCCTCTTTGTCGTAGTTACTAATATGTTACTTTATCTCAAGAGGAGCAAAAGGATGCAATCAATGACTCGTTCCATCCCGCCACCAAGGGCGACAATGCGAATAACGCGGGCCCTTCGAACGCCCAAGCCTAGGAAGATCGCTATGAGGAAACACGACAAGGGATGAACTCAGGATTTAATTGCGGCACTGTGTTAGAAGTGGGAATTTCCTTTTGTTGAATCGGGTTGAGTTTACAGTTTCCTGACAGTCATCATGTTGACAAGAGTGCGTTTCTTTGATTCGCCACAATTTCTCGCAGCCAGAAATATTAGTTTGAAATGAAATTACTTCAAGAATCAAGATTTTGTGCTTTGATCTCCTCTTTCTTCATATGCTGTACATCATTTTCCTCGTGGCCAGGAGTACAAGAGGTTGTTCCTTGATTTACTGTAGACCAGTTGAACTACCGGAAAGTTTTCCTAGGCATTATTGTAAACACACCCCCCCCCTGGTCTTCAAAGATTGTTCAGTGAAACTGACGCCTCACTTCTCTATGGTCTTCCTGATGCACAAGGGTTCATTTCTGTCAATGATGTATTGCTATGCGTTGTACTTGCTATAACCCGGCAGACGAAAAATAAGTCTCCCTGCTCTGTGGACTGATGTATTTTCCTCTGAAACTAGGAGAACACCTCCTTCAAGAACCAACCCCCCCAACATTAAATGTACTTGCGAGCTAGCAGCGGTGGACTATGTCCTAATGATATACAAGCTATGGATCGTACGAGATCTAGACAAGGGGAAACAGCAATCATGTGAAGTGTACATAACATCCCCCCACACCCTCCTGTCTTGCATCCACGGACACCACAGGCCATTAATTAACATACACCCCATTAACACTCCATAAAAGGAAGGCCTTAGTCAACTATTCACACAAGCACCAGGAAACGATCTAGCCTCACCGCGTACATGTCTGCCAGAATAAAACAATTCCAATTGTCTTCTGCCATGGTGTTCCAATTGAGCTGTACTTCCTCCCCTCCTCAGTTTTCAACCCCTGCGGCGTGGGAAAACTAATAAGGTTTCCCTGCAAATATATTAAAAATCGCGCCTGTCACCGTGTACCAACAGATCATTTCCGCTTGGGGGAAGATTCTTAGTCTTTTCGGAGCAAGAGAGCCCCAATAGCAGCTAGCCCCCGCAAATATCCTCACGCTGAATTTGAGTGAGAGGGGACACGGTTAAAGGGAAACACTCAACAAATGCGTTGGAATGATGCCCAACCTTATTCTACTAGCCTATGCTGTCGTAAATGCATATCTCCGGCCCCGCTTATCACCCTGGTGGGATGTGGACCAAGGTTTGGGAGTTGTCTGTTGCCAGCGAGCAACTGTATCAGCTCCGATTCTCTGCACCTCACATTCTTTAAAGGTGCAGAAAACATCTTGAGGAACTTAGTTGCTGTCGAAGCCAATGGCGGTTTATTTCCTGTCTCTGGAATGGACAAAGCGCTTGTGACCTGCAAGCAAGATGATCTTTTAAAACCCTGGTGAGCGAGAAAGAACAACCAATCGCCCAGGATCATCACACAGCCTTTGGAGATCCTGGGACTCTAACTCTCAATATGAAAACATAAAGGTTAATTAATGCAATACTGAGCAATGCCGCCTGCCGGCGATGCCATGAGACCAGGCCCATGAGCCGTGTGCCCAGGGGCGCCCGGGGTGAGCATCAGGGCCAGAATCCCAAATAGCATATTTAGATGACCGAACTCAATGGTGGTGTTCTATTTCCTCTGAGAGATGTCTTCCTCCTAAGTTACTTCACCGACGCTAAAGTTCCAGCAGCTAGCCGAATCAGGCGAGGGTGAAGTACTCAGACGTGGGGAGGTGTCTCCTGGCGGTATATTCCCTTAGTCTTGGGGCGTTTTCAACTGCTCAGTGGTGGAGGTGGTAGGTGATACCAGAAGCGTATCTTCGGGTAAACGCCGCCGTGAGAATATGAGACATCAACACCCCATTATTGTTTGACGTGACAAGAATGTCCACGTTATGGTCACCGTACGGCATCGTATCCTTTGCTAATATTATCTCTAATTCGGCTATCAGTCAGCTACTAAGCCTTCATTGCTGGGATTCGAGATTAGAGAAAGTATGTAGGAGAAGTGTTGTAATTGATCGTGTTGATTGTGCTAGCTAAGGGGGAATGCCCCGTATTTATACTTAATGAAAGGTAGTACAAAAGAGATACAATGAGTCATGGACGTGTGAGTAATAGAATGACTAATAGGAAAGTGAGTCATAAGCCGATGACGAATACTATAATGAAATGATGAGAACCTTCCAGAACTATGAAACGTGTCGAGCGCCCTATTTCAAGACTTCCCCTCGTGAGCCACAGTGAATAGTAGAAGAAAATAAAACATGTTTGCCTTTGTCCAATCCTTTTGTAAGTAAATCCGCCACGTTCTCGTTCGTAGAAATGTATTCCAGTTCAAATAATTCATCCTCAAATCGTTCCCGAACAAAATGAAAATGTACGTCAATATGTTTAGACCTTTTATGAAAGACAGGATTTTTAACCAAAGAGAGAGAGCCGTTGTTGTCGCCTCGAAGAATGAAAGAGAGATTCGGTTTTCGTTCCAGCTCGTGAATTGCATTCCTTAACCAGATCAGTTGTCGACTGGTGTCCGAAAGGGCCATGTATTCCGCTTCAGTTGTAGAAGTGGCGACAGATCGTTGCTTATAAGAGCGCCAGGAGATGAGAGCTTCCCCTAGCATGAAGCAGTGGCCGGTGAATGAGCGGCGATCGTCGATGTCGGAGGCATAGCTTGCATCGCTGTAACCGATGAGTGCAGTTGGTCGCGTTTTGGCGTAAAAGAGTGACCAATCAAGGGTACCTTTGAGGTAACGGAGGACGCGATGGACTGCAGCTAGATGAGCCTTAGTGGGACAGGAAGAAAATTGCGAGAGCATGGTGACAGTGTAGGCGAGGTCGGGTCTAGTGCCGATGACTGCGTACATGAGTGAACCGATTATCGACTGATAAGTTGTTGGATCGTCGATTTTTTCAGCTTCCGTTCTTTTTTGGAGGTGGACGTTGTTGTCGATGGGTGTTGTCACAGGTCTGGATTCGTTGAAGCCATATTTGATAAGTACACGCTTGAGATAAGCTTCCTGTGATAGGATGATGCCAGTCTTAGTGTGGATCAAGTGGATTCCGAGTGCCCAGTTGGCTGTGCCAGTTTCCATCATTTCGAATTCAGAGTGGAGGAGGAGGCTGACGCGGTTTTTGCGTTCAACGGACCAGTAGAAGATGAGGATATCGTCTACATATATTGCGATGACAACTTCCCCTGTCTTGTGTATGAAGACACAATGGTCGAAGTCTGCTTTTCTGAATCCTATATTGATTAGCGCTTTTGAGAGGCGAACATACCATTCCCTTGATGATTGTTTGAGTCCGTAGATGCATTTGATTAGTTTGCATGCTTTGCCGGGAGTGGGGTAGCCTGGAGGAGGTTTCATGTAGATTTCTTCCTTAAGTTCGCCGTATAGAAATGCGCTTGTGACGTCCATCTGATTGCATTGACCGCCGGTTTGAAGGCAGCGAGCGAGGAGTAGTCTGATGGATTCGTATTGGGTGACGGGGGCATAGGTTTGATCGAAATCTTGACCAGGGACCTGTGAGAAACCTTTTGCGACTAGTCGGGCTTTGTACCGTATGGGGTTGCCATCGGGCCCGAGTTTGATTTTGTATACCCATTTGCAGTCGACCACTTTGCGGTGATCCGGTGTGTTGACCAGATTTTATGTGTTATTCCTTGCGAGTGAGTCGAGTTCAACTTTCATAGCATTCTGCCATTTTTCGGAGTCGGGACTGTTGATCGCTTGGTGGTAGTTTGTTGGTTCTGTTAGGGTAGTGTCATGCTGAATGTTGTGTCCGTATCTGACCGGAGGTTTCCGTTCCCGTGCTGGGTTACGTCTCGGTTGATCAGTATCTGTTTCCTTATCATCATGCGGGGTACGTTCAGTGGCGGGCCTCGTATAGCCGGCCCCCACTATACTTGCGTGGTCTTCCGAATCAGTGTCGGAGAAATGTTCCATGGTTTCGCGCATTATCTGTTGGTTGATCATGTCGTCGTCGCTTGGGTCGTCGTCGTATGTCCTACGTTGTTTTGGTGTTGACGGACGTGAGGGTGGTTCTTGTTTGATCTCGATTTGTTTTGGTTTAGGGGGTGTATCGGTTTTTGTTTTGACTTCGATTTCTTCCCCTACGGATGTACCTTTAAACCTAAAATGACGAGAGAGAACTACTTTCCTTTGTGATGGTATATAGACGCGACAGATTTTTTCAGAGTCTCCGTATCCGCAGAATTGTCCTGTTATGGCCCTTGCATCCAGTTTTGTTCCAGCTGGTCGTGCTTCGACGGGTATGTGTATGAACATGGTTTCACCGAAGGATCGGAGGTGCCCAATAAAGGGTTTCTTTCCGGTAAGTGCTTCGTATGGTGTCATGTTCGGGAGTGATTTGTGCGGGAGGCGGTTTTTGTCGTGTACCATGGTGTTGATCGCTTCTGCCCATAGATTTTTTGGGAGATTGTGGTCGAGCAAGGCGGATCGTGCCATTGTTGCTATAGTTCTATTAAAGCGTTCTGCTGTTCCATTTGACTCATGGGAGTAAGGTACAGTGAATTCATGCTTTATGCCTTTAGAGGCGAAAAATTGTTGAAGGTCATTGGAGATGTACTCGCCACCGTTGTCGCTTCGAAATCGTTTAACCGTTTTGTCCAATTGATTTTCCATGTATGCGATGTATCGTTCTGTGGCAGCTTCTGCATCTGACTTCTTTTTGAGGAAGTAGAGGTGAGCGTACCTGGAGTAATCGTCGATGAAAGTGATATAGTAACTGAAACCGGCCAGAGAAGGAGTCGAGAACTTGCCGCTCAGATCTGAGTGTATTAGTTCCAGTGGTTGTTTGGATTGTGGTTCGGTGAGAGGAGCGAGGTGAGATTTGGTTGACTTAGCGAGTTCACATGTGTTGCATGTTTCCATGTGACCAGATGTGGGGAGAGACTTGGGGTCGGCGACCATGGTGCGAAGCCGTGGGAGCGAGGAAGCAGGGAGATGTCCGAGTCGTTGGTGCCAGTCATAGAAGCTGCTGGCGGCAGAGAGGTGTGCGCATGGTTCCTTGGTTTCAAAAGTGTAAAGACCAGTACTATTTGCGTTAGCGATCCCGATAATTTCCTTGCTGTTCGGTTTGTAGATGGTAAAGCCGTCTTCCGTCCCAGTTGTTGTAAATGCCTTTTTAGCGATGCAAGACCAAGACATCAGGTTGGCATTGCCTAGTTCGGGGATCAAGAATACGTTCTGCAGAGTGATCAGGCCATGTGATCCGTTGATGGTGACGTTGCCAATTCCGGTTATCTGGAGTTTGCGACCTCCTCCAACAGTAACTGTTCCAGTGTGGGGAGTTGGGTCGGTAACCAGCGTTCCGGTCATGTGGTTGGTTGCTCCAGGGTCGAAGATCCATGCCTTGTTGTCGGTGGTGGAAGGTCCTGCAATGAAGCCAAAGTAGTCTTGCATGGTAATATCCGAGGTGTTATCTGAGAAGTTGGTGAGGTCGAAGTCCACCGGCATTGTGAATACATCGGTTTCTTCGAGTGCGGGAAGGCCAGAAAGATCGGGGATCCAAGAGAGGTCGAGTTTTGTGTGAAATGCAGTTCCAGATACGACGTTGAGGTTGCCAGATGCAGCGGGCTTCTCCTTGTCTCTGAAAGCTTTGAGTTTCCGGCAATTTTTGTGCGTGTGGCCTTTTGCATATTCTCCATTCTTGGTGCACCAGGTGCATGTGACGTCCCGATTTCCTGTTTCGTTGTTACGTGGCCTCCTGACTCTGTTGTTGTTTCCGTGTCCTGGGTTTCCTCGCCTGATTGTGTAGGCTTCTCCAGCCGCCTGTCCATCGTTGTTGCGCCGTGAGTCCAGATCCAACAGCTTTTCGTAGACGTCATCGAAGGTGACGTTGGGCTTGGTTTGCAGGTTGTCAACGACTGATTCGAGAGATTCGTGCCGGAGTGAGAGGAGTAGGAAGGATGCCTTCGCTTCTGAGACAGATGCGAGTTGGTGAAGGTGGTAACCGAGTGGGTCTTTGGTTTTGTCCGTAGAGTTACTAGTTCTAGTGAGGAGAGATGACCAAAGAGTGTTGAACTGGGTTAGATGTTCCTTGATACCCTTGTCGGGTGTGTACTGTAGTGTGACGACATTGGCAAGGAGCGAGTGGAGGGAGGCGACGGTTTTCCGATCGAATCTGTCCTCGAGTTGAGTCCAGAGGTGATGAGCGGTGTCGGCCAGTGTCAGCGTGAGAATAACTTCGAATTCGATGTTAGATTGAAGGAATACAACTGCAAGGTTGTCCTTTTTGTCCCAGTCTCTGATTTCTTCGGCATTGTTGGAGGTTTCTTCTTCGTCTTCTTCAGCCTCAGCAGTGCTTCCTGATGCTTGTGGTGCCGTGGTAGGTACAGTAGTGGTGGTTGTCCACACGGGACGCTTGCTCGAACCATTGACCAAGTTCCACAGATCGTGAACTTTCACCATGCGGGTAGCAAGGTCCCTCCATACAGTGTAATGGCCTTGACCATCCAGCTTGCATGGGAGTGCGGGAATTTTGATGCTCCTCTCAGACATGATTGAAAGTGAAACGAGAAAGTGTACTTTGTGGTAAAAATGGTGAAGAGTGTATAAGCGTGAGTGGTCTCCGGGCTCATAACCTAGAGAAAGTATGTAGGAGAAGTGTTGTAATTGATCGTGTTGATTGTGCTAGCTAAGGGGGAATGCCCCGTATTTATACTTAATGAAAGGTAGTACAAAAGAGATACAATGAGTCATGGACGTGTGAGTAATAGAATGACTAATAGGAAAGTGAGTCATACGCCGATGACGAATACTATAATGAAATGATGAGAACCTTCCAGAACTATGAAACGTGTCGAGCGCCCTATTTCAAGAGAGATGTCTATACCGGTATTCAGTTATCCCGTTACCTCGATCATTGGCCACCTAGCAAGCTGGACTATTCCCAATTAGGAGGCAATTAATTGATCGCTTATCAATTGAATAGTAGTGTGTGTAACCTTCCGGGGTTGGCTAATTGGTTGTTATCGGTTGCTTAAGCTGTTATCATTTGACCGATCTAATCAATTGATTCACAAATTAATCCACGATTCGCTTAAATCCATTGGGCTTATCAATTAAGCACAGTAAACCCTTTTCAAATGAATAGGTTATCAATAGCAATACTGATGTCTCCAACCAATCCCGGAGGAGGTTAGCTCCGACCACTCTCTGACGAGCAAGAGGGTTATTATTTTCTGATCTCGACGAGTGTCTTATCTCTGTGCGTTATATGTATCCCCTAAAAACCATTGCGCAATAAGGATTGACGGTGACGAGCCCCGCCGAAGTGACCCGATGGCCCGAGTGGAAGCGGTCGTGGTATTCCGAACCCGGAGGAAATAGTATAGGTCAGATCGTTGGGGCGCGGTGGGAAACTCTCCCAAGACGTTTAAAAGGCGAAACGTTAATAATAGGTTTGGTGAAAAGTTCGTCGCTCAGGAGTGAGGCTGAAAAACTGTGCCCTTGGTATTGTGGGATCTGCCTACACCGGAGCGGGCGAAGGAAAGAACCAATCAGTAACAGCTGAAAAACCCAACCAACAATATTGAAAGATGTACTTTATGTGATAGTTTCTTGCTAAACAGCTCTATCGAAAATACGGTATCACCCCTCAGTGCCCAGTTATCGAAGACATTGACCATGATGATGATGACCGACGGACTGCCTTCGCCAGTAAAAGGACACGTGGACATGTAGTAAATATGGATGAACCTTCAGCGGAGATTCCTGTGTCTGTTGACTTTCCACGGCCATATGTCGTCCGGTTTGGACAAGAGCATGTGCTCTGCGTCGGAAAGCAATCAGTATTCGACAAAGGGACATACGGGGCATAAGGAAGCGAACCGCGATAACTATATCCAACCCCAGCATACATCCATCATCCCAACCTATATAGTTGTTCATGGTACTCCGTACATAGATACAAGTATCATCGCACCAGCCTATTATGGGATGCGGTGTAACCTAGGTACCTAGGGAGGCGCTGGTCCTATCTAATAGCTAGCTCGGCCACCTCACCGGCTGTGGTTGTGAGTTTTGTGAAGCGAGCAACTAATCTTTTGCAAGAGGTGGGCGTGCTCGAAGCTCGCTATAGCTGTACGACCCTGTTGCACCGGGATTCCGCAGATTGTAGTATCGGTATAAAGAGAGTTAACTTTACGCCCTGAAGGAGCATTCTGGTAGCTCATTATGATAATTTATTACAGCACCGAGCAGGTCGAAACCCGTGTTGTTCAAACTCTTTGGCGAAGCGAGGAGGATGTTGAAATTCTCAGTGTGTTAGTTGTGTACGTCAGCTTCACTATCACACTAGCTAACGATTACCCTCCCTCTACCGCCATTCCAGACATTGCACCGACGTCAGACACGATGGAAAGCATGTTGTTCAAGGTTCCTGTCTACCACAATCATCCACCCCCCCACCCTCCTCAACAAACCATCCACAACTTATTTTAAAGCATAACATCACAAGGTGCATACAAACCCATCACCCTCGAGATAGTGAATAAAATACAAGACTAATACCCCCAACCAGCAATGGTTATGTCACTTGTCCGATCCGATGCGCTCGCCGTCGGTGAAGAGCAGCTCGCTCTCTATCAAGATGAGCTCACCAACCACCTCGAGGAGCAAGACGAGGTGGAGACATATCTCAAAAACTCCTTCAGGGACCGCTTGCACCATGTCTACAAGTTGGCTTTCCACCGCAAGCGCTTGAGCGATGCCGGATACGACCCCATCACCGGAACCACTGCGCGCGGCGACGTCGACGCCGCCACAATTCAGAGACACGTCTCCTGGCTCAACGGTATTGCTTTGTATTTCAACGAGGTCGATACAGAGCGTGCGGAGAAGGGGGCAGACTGGCAAAGGTTGAAGTTCGAGCTGCCGTATATCCTCAGGGATATCAAGGAGGCGGAGGAGAGGATTGAGACGGTCAAGGGGATGACAGAGTGGGAGCTGATGGAGGAGGCTAGGATTGCCAGGGAGATAGCTGAAGGTGAGTACTGGCTGAGCTTGAGAGTGGTTGTTGCGATGATGGTTAACGGTTATTAGCGCACGAGAGAATGATGCGTGCAGCTGCTGAGGCTAGCGCGAGGTGCGTTGACCCTGGTGAGTTCACCTTATGGGATCTTTGGTCCACCGATGATGAGATGGACGAGGAGGAGGCGACACAGAAGGAGGAGAAGGGGGAGGAGGAGAAGGAGAAGGAGGAGAATCAGTCTACTGGAAATACAACCGAATTCTCCAATTAGGCGCCTACAGGAACCTCTGCCGACCTCTCCACCGAAAAGGTTTAAATTCGGCTGCATCCTGCGGATCAAGTCAAAAACCGCGTTGCCAATAAGTCAAGGAAGGATGGAGTATTGGGAAATGGGATTCGTGTGTTTTGAATCAGAGGTATACCACAGACTCTCAGTCAATAATAGTCAAATAACGTTAGAAGATTTAAAAATAAATTTTTTTTTACATAAATTACTGCTCTGCTCTCAGTTATTATTTTTCTTGTGGCTCGCTCCGCAACTGCCAAAGCAAACCTTGGCTCGCTGGCACTCGAATAATGTGCATAAAATGTACATGTAGTCTCTCCTTAATATCTTATACCGCCCTTTCCAGGTATCTTTGCGATTTCCTTACTCGCCGAATGTGTTGTAGATGAACGTGAACATGTAGACTTTGAGATGTAGATATTGTAAGAGACGATGCTTTCAAACGATGAATTCCTATATCCGTACTAGATGCCGCTCGTTCTTCTCTCTTATTTACCTCTTTGTAAAGGTGTCTTGCCTATGGTAATAGACCTTTAAAGTGAATTATTCGCATTGAAAGAAGATCGAGGTCTTCACAAAGGTCTATTCACATGAACCTCCTACCTGTGAAACGTTCTATAAGCGTGAATGTAGAGAACATCTACAAAGGCGAGATCCATCGCCGGGACCTTTTCCCATTCTTTCCTTCAGTATCCTTCTGTTCTCCCGGATGTTGGGTGACCGTGGTGCGTAGTCGACACGCCTCTGTCTACTAATATTAAAAGAATACGCCTGAAGATACTACCCTTTATCCACGCTATGAACCTTCCGCTCCTCTCTGAATGCGATGTCCATTCCCCCTAAATTTAGGTGCGCATGAATTGTGAAAGTATTCAAAGCCTTAACGCGTAACTAGTAGGCGTGCGTGTTGCTAGATCTAAACGTCATGGCGTTCATTGTCAGAATGTCTACATGTAATTACTGTTGAACGTGTTGTTATTGTTTTGAGAGGTGGGCGAGCCCGTGTTCTAATATAGATAAGAGAGCCCTCTTCATTTTCACTAGCCTTAAACAGCGCATGACCCTCCTCTCCCCAGCACTCCCCCAGGCCATAACTGTTTAAGTTTTCAATCCTTTATCCTACCCTCATGCTGCCTCAGACAGCGAGGTACCAACCATTCCAATTTACTGACAAAAGTGATGGTGTGCTGGCTTTGGAAGTCATTTAGCGAAAGCATCCGCTAACATCTAATAAGTATACTTATAACCTGCATATGCAATGTGCTTTCATAGTCTTCCGATCGATTCATTGAGAGATGTTTTTGTTTCACTTGAAACATGTTGTGATGGATATTAACATAGGGTATTGTGCTGAGTGGTGTTAGAGTGTTAATATAGTTGCTACTGGTTCTGGGAATTGATGGTGCTTTGGTTCTAACGGTTTGGTAGCTGTTAAAGGGATATACCTGTAGCTTTAACTGGAGAAATAGTCTGACTTATCTGTTGATATATGGGGATAATATATCAGAAAAGTCACATATTGACCAGATCAGATCTAGATATAGTGATGGGCTTTGCCTGCCAGGAGGGGTCGAGGGCCGCGCAGCGGCCTGAGAGCCCCGACTGACAGGCAAATAGACAAATAAGCCGCAAAGCGGCTTGCCTGTATACTAGACAGGTTGGTATGCATATAGTACCGGCCGAAGGCCGGAAACTACTTGTATCTTTTGTAGGTATATAGTCGAGCTTAATCTCCCTGTTATACACAAGGTCCGCCGCTAGAGAGAACTTTGTTCCAATGTGAACTGCTCCCTCTGTGCTACGATAGATATGGCCCTTAACTGATGCAATAGTGGCGTTGTTATCGCAGTACAGTTGAGGTATGTTGTTGTCGTTACAATCCATTTCTGTTAGAAGTGGCTGTATTTTCAGAAGTCTTATACCCGCCAGACCAAACGCATAGTACTCTGCATCCGCAGTGGATTGGGTAACCGACCTCTCTTCCCGTTATCTCCAATCAACTGCTCCTCCCATCATGATGACAACACCTGAAGTTGATTTGAAATCATCACGGGAGCCAGCATAATCAGAGTCGCCGTATGCAGTGATACTATTGGTTCCTCCAATTCTAAGACCCCAGTCCTAGGTGCCTTTAAGATAGCGTAGTAGCCTCCTCATAGCTGTGAAATGCACTTCGGATGGGTCATGACTATAACGAGTGAGTACACCAACAGTAAAGCATATATCCGGCCTGGATCCGGTCATAGCATATATGACACTATCTAGTATGCGCTAATAGAGTTATTTATCATAAGAACTGTCGTCCGCAGTTTTCTTGACCATTTTGATATTCGGGTCCATTGGGGTATTGACTGAGTGCGAATTCTCCATTCCAAAGCGTTCGAGTATAGTAAGAATATATTGCTCTTGACTGAGTTCGATATAGTTCTGGACTCGTGTGATTGTCATGCCCATGTAGTCACACATTCCCTAGGTCATGCATTTCGAATCGATTCTGTAGCTGTTTTTTGATTTGGTGAACAATTTCAGCCTGACCCAGTAATAACATATCGTCAACGTAGATGACTAGGATGACTTGGGATTTGTTTTGCGGTAGGATAAGGATCCCACAATCCAGGCCACTAATAGTGAAGCCAAGGTTGACCAAAAAATCTCGCAAAGTATGGTACCATTCGTATGGGGATTGTTTGAGGCCATAGGGTGATCGCAGAAGTTTCCAAATTGGTTTCTTGTTTGGCTGTCCTATAGGATCCTAGAATCCAGGAGGCGGATGAATGTATATTTCATGATGAAGCGGGCTTCCCAGGAATGCGGTACATACATCCATTTGCTAGGTATCCCATCCACGGCTGGCTACTACAACCAGCACAAGTCTGACATGGCTCATTCTTGCTATGGGTGCATAGGTATTGGGAAAATCAATACCTTCACGCTGGTGATCACCACGCGCAACTACTCTTGCCTTATATCTTATTATAGATCCGTTTGAACCCCGTTTAATTTTGAATACCCAGTGGGAACCAATGACCTGTTGAGGTTCCGCCGGTTTGTTGTATTCCTTATAAACCTTATGCTTATTGATAGCGGCAAATTCTTCTAACATACTTTGTTTCCATTGTTCACTTTGCGCAGAATTGATTGCCTCTTTATAGCTGCTAAGTTCGGATATCTGTTACAGGAACTACGGAACACTATTCTAAATACTCAAGAAAGTGGGGAACACGAGTGACGGGTTGTGATGCGAGGACGGTCGGGTAACGGAAGGACAAGCATAGAAAAGTATCGGGTAGTGTGGGGGCATGCGGTGTTACCACACTAGTACTATACTGTTATGACGGCACGCTTACTATTGGGTTTCTCACCCGGAATAGAATAGGAAGCGGGGCTTACGGCTGTAGGCTGTTCTACTTAGAGAAGTAGGTCTAGGATAATAGTATGGTACAACCCGATGACTGGCAATTGCAAAGGTTCATGGTTACGTGTCGGAATTAGAATGGAGAACGGAACTAGGCGGGGGCGCTTTTCTATCTGGGTTATCTTCGGGAGCATTATCTTATTCTATTATCGTTGTTTCAGTTAGTATTAGAAAGCGCGCCTTGGCATAGGTTCCAACATGTATAAATAGGGCTTGATTCTGCGAAGACTTGAGGGTATCATCAACCATCAAGTCAAGGGAATCCGGTTTACAATATCATCAGTTTAAACGCTACAGAATTATCGCTTAGCACTGGCCATTTCCCCAAACAATATCCCATCTTGATAGTCAATAGCAATTGTTCTAAAGACTTGATTAACATAGTGAATTCCAATATCATTGTTGCTTTCCTGTTTCAGGCTAGCCTTATTCGAATTTCGGGTTACGCGTCCGGAGCTGATGCTTGGTTCATTTCAGCTTCCGATAAGGTCTGACTGAAGTTCATTGATCATTTTTGAACCATGTCCGTTTGGCCGACTGCTTTCCCTCTCAACATTCTCCCCCTCAATGATCTCCGGTGAGACTTGAGAACTTGTTTCTGAAGTTTCTGACTCGTCGGAATGTTGAGTGGTACCAGAACGCTGTCCAGAATTGAGAGTGATTGGTAACTGAGTCTCTTCAGACGTATGTGTAGGTAGGCTCAAGAATTGATCCACATGGTCCTGATTTCCAACTTCAAAGTCCTGAGATCGCTGATTTTCTCTGAATATGACATCATGAGAAACATATAGGGACTTGATCGATTGATTCCAAATGCGGTACTGATTTGTAGCGCAACTTATTCCGGCGTTGATCTGGGATGTGTACAAATGCTAAACATTCGAATACGCGCAAATGCTGAACTGTTGGTCTCTGTCGATGCCAGGCCTCGTGCGGTGTCATCTTATCAAGAGCTTTGGTGGGTGACAGATTCTTGATATAAACAGCTGTATTTACTGCTTCCGCCTAGTAATTATTGTCTAGTTTAGCATCGTCTAGCATGCACCGTGCGCGCTCAACTACCGTTCGATATGCACGCTCCACAACGCCATTTGACTGAGGAGAGTATGGCGTCGTTGTTTCTTTATGATTCCTTCGCCTCGGAGACACTTGGCAAATTCGTTGGAAGTATATTCACCACCACCATCTATACGAAACCGTTTAATACAGTATCCCATTTGCTTTTCTGCCGCGGCTTTAAACTCCTTAAAGCGAGTAAAAGCTTCAGATTTGTACTTAAGTATGTAAACCTTAGTGAAACGTGTTGCATCGTCAATGAAGAGTAACATGTATCTCCCTCCGCCAAATGATGGTGTTCGGAAACGTCCACAAAAATCTGAATGAATAAGCTCGAGAACGGCTTTTGCCCGATCTGTTACTGGCTTGGACGGCCTACGAGAATGTTTCCCTTTGACACAAGCAGTGCGTTCACAACTGCCCTTCAATGAATCGGGAACTCCATCGACGTGTGATGACAGGGAACGTAAAGATTCAATTCCAAAATGACCTAGACGGCGATGCCATAGGCCCGACTTGGATGCTCCCCCCGACGGCTGACTACTCAATTTGAAGGCTGAGATCAAGGACAAGTTTAGATCCTCCCCCGCTGGGGTGTCCCACTTGATATCAAAAGGAAACATTCGGCCTATTTGTAGCGCTCTTGTCACCAGGGTCCGATTGGAATAGATATTCATTCCATACCCATTTACGGCAACAATTCTCAAACCATTCTCCATAAAGATACCTTGTGATATCAAGTTGACTCCATCAGGAATGTACAGAACTCCGCGAATAGTAACGTTGATATAACCATCCTTATTAGGAACCGACACCTTGAGCTTGATGTGACCATATCCTTGTGCATGCCGGATCGAACCTTCAAATTCCTCCACTGGACGTTTTCCTTTCTCTAATTCGTGGTAGGATATGAACAGATCCCGGCGATTTGTCACATGCGTACTGCACGCGGAATCAAGATAAAAATCATTATCCCGGGGTGCATGAGCCTCCTTCTGAGAGGCTGCCATCCACATTGACTCAGGAACGGATGTTGTGTTCGCCCGCTCAAGATTTTACGCTCTGTTTGGTTTATTCTTTTCCTTTCCTTTCTTCTGTTTAGGCTGACTCGGTGGTTCTCCTCTCTGTTCCTTGAAGCACTCGTTGATAGTATGTCCATTGTATCCGCAATGGCTGCATTGCTTCATGGCTCTATCATTCATTCGACCGAGAACTATTCCTACCATGATTGTTAGGGGGTCCAATGTAGAGGAGTGTGTCCGAGGTGATTCCTTTTTTCTTCCTCAACTCCGCTTCCCTGCTCAACAGCTTGTTGATAATCTCGTCGGGCTTTTTATCCAACAATTCTGTATCAATTTTGTCCTGTATCAGCTGGATACAAACGTTCCAATGTTCAACCTCCCCCGGCAGTCCATTCACCAGGAAGAAGGAGTGTTCCTCGCGGAACATTTTCATTGACACGTCCTCAACAGCAAGATTGAACTGATCTACTCCTTGCTGAATACGGTACCCATATGCCTCTACACCCCTGGACTCAAGCAAGCGGATGCCATACAGTTCCTTCCGTATAGTAAATGTGCTTTACCGGATTTGAGTGACATAGTCTGTTTTCACCCGCTCCCGGAGCCCCTTAGGATTGTCATAATCCATGTACTTATCTAGCATTCAGCTTTCCATTGCGAGTAGGATCGTAGACAGAATGATATTTTGTCCTTGGTGCCATAGGATACTGTCCCTCGATATCGGATCAGGTATGTCGTTGTCTGAAACCGAATCTGGTTGAATGTCCGTTCCGGAAATAATTCCCCAGCAGAGCCGTTGTTTGAGAATCAGTGGTATTTCGAAGGGCCACTTCTTGTAGTTTGATCAATCGAACTTGTGGATTCGGGAATGTGAATGGGGGGAGATCTCGGCATTGTTGGACATGATCGTTAGCTTGCTGCGAGAGTACAGGGCGTGTGAGAGAGATAGAGGGTAAAGAGCTCAGGGACGGTTGAATCCGCTAGAGCTGGTGATGAAGCGTGGAGATGAGATGATGAACACCGAATTCTTCTTTAGCTGATGAAGGCTGCAGATGTCATGTTCAAAAATCGATTCTGCTTCAGCTAGAGGTGCCTCGTGATGGAAATATAGAGATGTCGAGATGAAAATCAGATTTTGCTTTAGCCCGTGATGAAGCATACAGATGTCGTGATGAAAACCCGATTCTGCTGTTCCAATTGCGCTTCTTAAGCACAAGGGCTCATAACTTGTTGAACGTGTTGTTATTGTTTTGAGAGGTGGGCGAGCCCGTGTCCTAATATATATAAGAGAGCCCTCTCCCTTTTCACTAGCCTTAACGGCGCGTGGCCTTACTCTCCCCAACGATTACTTGATGACAAAACCACCCCTGACGGAAAGCCACTTTATCCAGTCAATGAGTTCTTCCATATACTTATTGCTCTTAGCAAACTCCGTCCGTCTTTTATTTTACTTATTGAATTCTTTGTTTTGCTACGTTTCATTCTCATCTGATACATTCTGCTATGCGTAAATTACCCTAGTGACGCCATATGTATATCGTGGAATGAGTTTCGTTGCTATAAATAGGACGTCATGGTAAACACATTGGATGACAATTAAATCTCCAACATAAAAATGTGTCTAAAGCATCACGTATCACGTATTAATTATAGGACGATTCTGTTGTTTTATCACAAGATATATGCACGCATATCCGACGACACTGAGATCACCCCAGCTCTAGACCTTTCTACTATAGAACTCGAGTGAGCTCTAATTCCGGAGGTAGAGGCTCGAGCTATATGAGCCTTGGAGTTGGGCTCGATCATGTGCTCTCATAGTTATACCTAGAGACATGGATAAAGTTCCCAGAAAGTCCTTATAAAATATATATTAATGGAAATCATGCATGGAGGATAAATATTTATTTTATTTCGGTCCCCCAGAAATAATATTGTACTACTCACCGTCTGTAATGTGCTACCAAAATCTATGCTAGGCTCGAGGTTCTCGAAATGCACTCGAGTTGGCCCGTACCCATTACTAGATGCACCCGGCTATATAAACACCGGCCCTCCCCACCAACTTCGTAAGATCACTTTCCCATCAGCAATACATATCTCTAATTATCCTCACAACAACATAAATCAAAATCTATAACAACCAAGATGACAACCAATGGCACCCCCGACGCGCTCGGGTCTATGGAAGAGCTTCGCGCAGACCTCGATGAAATCCGCATCATGATCGGCGTAAATAGCACCTACCTCGTCACCACATTCGCCAATCGCCTGGACTGTGCTCACACTCTGGCTCGTCTTTGCGTCCGCCTATTCCGCACCGGTTACAACAGGGAAACGGGTCGTACCCCTCTCGGCGACCAGGAGACAGCGCCAATCAGGGAGATCCTCGAACTGATTGAGCTCTCTGACAATCACCTTCGATGGATTGACCGTATTAGGATGGTGGCGGGGAATTCCTTTCATGAGCTCAAATGGGAGGAGATTCAAGTGTTGAAAGCCATTGGGACCGGCGAGAATATTCTCCAAGCACAAGAAGTGGCCGCTTGTGAGCACGGTGGGATCTTCATTCTTTGTCATTTTTTTAAGAGTTTTCAGTTACTAACTACTCGCCTCTAGAGGTGGAAATGGAGCGTGAAAAGGCCCGAGACAATGAGGAGGAGGAGGAGGAATGGGATTTGCTGAACAAGATTACCCGAGTATGATTAGGTTTGAGATTATGCGGTCTAAACACTTCGTATAATTCGAAGATATACTCCCTCCGGTTTTATCGGGCAATCTTATGTCAATGATCCTATTGGGCAGGAATTTGGAGGTTTGGATAGGTCTTACATTGTTTCCAGGAAAAAAAGGTTCGTTTTATAAGTAGTTATATGAATGCATGGTTATTATAACATGAATTGCAATTACTTGATAAAGATTACACTATTCGGCTATTTTACTCTCTTCATTGTTCTGATCCTCTGGATGTATGTTTGGGGAAATGGCCAGTGCTAAGCTGTAATTCTGTAGCGTTTAAACTTGTGATATTGTAAACCGGATTCCCTTGGCTTGATGGTTGATGATCTCCTCAAGTTGTCGCAGAACCCTGCCATATTTATACATGTTGGAACCTATGCCAAGGCCCATTTTCTAATACTAACTGATACTACGATAATAGAATAACATAATGATCCGAAGATAACACAGATAGAAAAGTGCCCCCGCATAGTTCCATCCTCCATTCTAATTTCGACACGTAACCTTGAACATTACAATCGCCAGTCATCAGGTTGTATCATACTTTGTCCTGAAGCTACTTTACTAAGTAGAGCCTGAGTAGCCCGTAGCCATAAGCACTACTTCCTGTTCTATTCAGGTGAGACACCGAATAGTAAGCCTACCATCACAATAGCGTAATACTAACGTGGTAGCACCGCGTGCCCCAATACTGCCCGATACCTTTCTATACTTGTCCTTCCATTACCCGACCGTCCTCGCATGATAACCCATTACTCGTTTTCCTCCACTTTCCTTTGCTTTAGAACAGTGCTCTGTAATTCCTGTAACGATGTAATTGTTGTGATTGTGATCAGTGGAACAGCCTCTTCTCTATCCACTCTCCTTCACATATACTAACGTTTTCCCCTCCATGTACGCGTACCAAAGCAAGACTGAAATTACATCTCACACCATAGGTTCAATGTCCCCACCCTTTCCCCTCGGCAGCGCATAATTAACAATGACCACGAGCAACACATTTTTATTCATATCTTCGTCTGCGAAAACACAAGTCCCGACCCATTTCTTGGCATTTCTTGGTATTAATACTCCCCTGCTATAGGTTTATCTTCGGAACTACCGTACCATCACCAGCTTTGGGGAGAGTCATTTCCGATAGCTGTAGGCTCCAAGACTGTTCAAAGGATTTGCACAACTCACAACCCTGGTGACTCCGTGGCGCAACGGTAGCGCGTTCGACTCCAGATCGAAAGGCTGCGTGTTCAAATCACGTCGGGGTCACACTTCACCACTATGTACCCTGTTGGGTGAGTTGGTTTTTTAGTTCGGCTTTTAGTTACGGTGTATTCTGGTATTAACTCTCCCGTCCATAAGCAGCCCTCCGGTTAGTTATGTACTCCAACACAGCATATCTAACACTTGGTTTGGGTAACACTCAACCGCGTCAAGTGTATTACCTGCGGCCTTTTCTCGCAACCTTGGATGCCGTCCACCGAAGGCCTAGCCTGGCCCCTCACCAAATTATGAACATGAAAAAAATACCTGACAGTTTTGGGTAAACCTTCACGAACACACAATCTCGCCTCGCCGCCTTGTTCCCACCCGACTAGATCTGGGAGTGTGCTTCACATGGGTGTGAAGCCATCTTTGCGTCGCTCTTTCTGTTTTCATTTTACTTTCCGATCTCGCGCATAAATATCACGGCGACACAAACCATCTGCAAGTTGTGGCGAGGTTCTGCCATTCATAATCAACGAGCAATGATGTATCTTGCGTTGTGGTGAGGTTTTCACGGACATCGGCGGGGGAACTAGTTACTGACTCGTGCGCAGCGGGGCCGGGGCCGTGGCTCCTCCGCTTCTGATCGATCCCTGCCGTTATATCGTCCGGTATCGTCTGTCGTTATCATTATCATAGGTGGTTGGCTCTGTTTTTGGCGGGGATCTGGTTGTGTTTCAGACGTTTCACTGCGCACGGGAGCTTATTTACCTCCCCCCAATAGTACGGAGCCTCCGCTAAAGGTAAACGGCCTTCATCCTGGTTAAGAAAAGAATGTAGTATCAGCTCCGGCCTGAATCCGTTGATATAAATCCCGGATCGTCGTCGTGCTCGATGTCATTTCAACCCGGCGGAAAAGCTTATATTAGTGCAAGGAAGGCGGAGTTTATTGCGGCATGTCTACTGCCGCCTGTCGAATATCCCCCTATCTGCCTGATGTGATCATAACTCGGCCGCTGTTACCGATTCCACTAAAGTTATGATTTACCTAGAAGAGAGTGGTGGGCGGGGGGTGCAAGGGTCGATGATCTAAGTAATGTTGCTGGACCCCCATTCTTCGCGACCCTTTTAAGCTGTCATAATGTGAGGGACCCGCGGCAGCTCAGGCATTCTGAGTATTATTCAAGCTGTATTGAACATGTAACATATATATAGAACAACCCCACACCGAGCAGAAAGTGGCGAGAACTCCCATAAGTGTCGTCGTATAAACTATTATCTCCATATAAATGCGTCGGACTACCAATGTGGTGACTAGCCAGAGTTGGTTTAGAGAGTAACTCTTATTATACGCTAGCTATATATGTCGTCTTTATAGTTCGTTATGCGCGGGTCTTCGGTGCTGAGTTTGAAGCGGAGGAAAAACCTATTGATTCGTGATCTTGCCAGAAGCCATACTGCTAAATAAAACCGAATAACATAATACATCGTAGTGCGTATTTCTTGGTAGACTGGGGGTTAAGGCACCATGAGACAAGAAATTACATCCTTCTAGTTATGAAATATCACTGGAAACTACTATTATCTCCTTTGACTTTACGATTGACTCTACCTTTCTACTCGAGCAAGAATGCAAACTTCGCACAATTTCTAACGCCTTTAAGTGTCTGTATCTATGGCACAAGATTATTTAGAAGCGCACGTTTGGCGGACAGTGGATCTTTCAATATCGGTGGAATTGCTGGGTTATTTATACATTTAGGTTTAACTCAGCCTAAGAACTTTCTTTTGGATTTATATACATAAATCAAGTGGTCTAGTCTCATCCAGAGGTATGGAAGTACCAGGAGTCGAAGGGTTGATATTTCTTCGTCATGATCTATCACTCGGAATTGCACCTAACTATCAACTTTATGACACGCGCGTACACCTTCCTTCTCTTCCGCTATTTATTTATTTTTTGAAAATAACCTCCGAAACCTTACGTGGCAACCAACATTCCCCGCTGTGCTCCCCCAAACTCCGGGCCCATCTCCTACGCCAACGCTGTCAGAACTGCTGCAACCCCTCCCACACAACACCCCAAGCCGCAAAGAAAACACGGAAAAATGGACGGAAAGACTGTAGGATCCCCCAAAGAACATGCCTCTCCCGACCTACAAGCGCCGCTTCTTCGCTACTAAAACCACCCCCACCCTCGTCCCCGACTCTGATCGTCTCACAACTGGACTCCCTGTCTTCTTTGGCCAATTTCGGGCAAAACAGGGCCTTGTCGCCCCAGCCACCGCCCTCTCAGTCACCGTCAATGCCAAAGGAACAGTAACAGTCCTTGCCGCTTCAACCGTCCCAAACACCACCTTCGCCCCCTCCAACGACATTCTCACCACCATCCTCAACCAAAAGATCCCCACCCCTAACAATCCCTACACCTCCTTCCACTCCGTGCCTGATACTATCCACGTCGCCATACATGGTGTCCCCCTATACAACATCTGCAACAAATCCACACTGCAAAGTATCTTCCCAGAGGCTGTCAGCCTAGCTACAGGTATCACCCCATGATCATGCGGATTCCTTGTTGCAAATGACACAATCCGCAACGCCAAAACCTCCTTCACCATTGTCATCACGGTCTCCCGCTCCGAAGCAGCTGACATCGGTACCACCATGCATCTCTTTTCCCACCACGTCGCTGCGCCATCATGTGGTCAGCCTCAGCAGAAACTCAATGCTCGCACTGCTATAAACTTGGCCATGTTATCAAGGGATGCAAACAAGAACTCCCGGCCTGCCCCCTCTGCACCCTCTCCCACATCAAAGCAGAACACCGCTGCCCCATGCCCAACTGCCAAGGGTTCAACTCGTAATCTATTTTGAAGGATTTCGGTACACGTCACGAGTTGATGGTACTTAGTTGTTGAAACGGGCCGGGAGGTACCACACGAATTAGCTGCATATGTGAGTACTGTGAATAATCATATGGACCCCTAGCTCATAAACTCCTTACCCGATATGAGGGATAAAACGCTTATTACCTTTACGCAATAAATTTGGCACCTGAAACTATGATAATTTGTAGGGTCTCAGTTAGGAAATGTTCAACATTTCCCCATTTGTATAAAAGATAAAAATAAGAGTACAAGGACCCCAATACATATTTTTTCCCTCTTAACGATTTTTTCATCTGTGTTCTTTCTGGTTGTCCACCACAACAGTACGCACATTTCCATTAAAGATTGAACATCTAGTTCTTATCATTCTGATCATACCAGGTATGCTACGCAGCCGGAGGTTTACGTACTGTGTATCATTTGTCAATAGCCACATATGTCTACTTCAAGGTTTCTAGTGGTAGAAACCGGTTGTGATAGAACACAAAACCGCACCGATTACTAGATCAAGGGACTAAATCTGTACCAACTGTACCAATTATTTATCTTGACAGTTTGAACCAGTTTAACCGCTTAAATCGCGGTTCTATGTCTGGCATACTCACTATGATAACTGTGCTAAAAACAACTAATCACATTCTCAAACAGGGTGTTCGAGCTTCGGAGTGACGTGTTAGAGCTCAGAACTAGGGTGTTAGAGCTCACGAACATGAGGTGTATAAACCGTTTAAACCGTTGGTATTGTTGAATTCGAGCGTCCTATGCACCTTATTAGTGTGAGGTACAGATGGCAGTGAGGAGGAACTTGAAGGCCGGGTTAGGACGAGTGAGCAAGGGTGATGCATACAAGGATGGTAGCAGTCACAGGCAACGAACTTTCTTTCTTCTCTTCTCTCTACTACCTCTGTATCAAAAAGAACGAATAAATCAATAAAATCTATCATCTTTCTCAACAGGTTATGAGCCCGGTTGCATCACTTCCATCTCAGATCAATAGTACTCTGCTCCATCCCCTACCCGCTCCTCCTTCTACCTTCCACAATATGACTTCATCAACGAAGGATATATTCAAACATCCTAAAGGATCCTTTGACCGTCTGACACCATCCAATTACTCTTCATGGAAGAACAGCATGCGTCGTCTCTTGAGAGCCCTGTTAGCTTGGAAGATAGTCTCAGGAGATGAAGAGATACCTCCAGTTGCCGGACCAAATGATGAGGAGGAGGAAATTGAGAGATGCCGCAAGAGGCGTCAAGACTTTGAGCAGCGCCGGGAGGATGCAGCTGCAGTCATCTACAACTCCTGCAGTTCACCTGTCCGGATTTACATTGATGAAGTTGATGACCCAGAAGAGATGTGGACGATTCTCGCAGAAAGACTTGACACAGCGTGCTCAGCAGTTGGTCGGCAAACCATTTATCGAAACTTCATGGCTCTTCGACCTGTACCAGGTGCACCTATTGGGGATTACTTTTCACGCCTGCTTGAGCTTCGAAATCAAATTGCGGGTACTGAAGAGGCCATTTCAGACATCGCATTCAAAACCCACATTTTCAGCACCTTACCAACCAGTTTCGAAGTGACATCAAAGATACAGCAGAACCGTGCCGATGCCACAATTGAGAACATCATCGACGCATTGAAAGAAGATGAAAGCATTCGCTCAATGCGTACCCAACCGGATTCGATGACAGAAGCATTTTATAGTGGTGTCAATCCTCGAAATAAAGGAAACATGAGAGGACTCGGACAGTCATTCAACGCTAGGTGATGCAACTTCTGCAATACATCAACTCATTACACTGAACACTGCCGGTCAAAACGATTCGGTGCAAAAAGGAAATCTCATAGTATGACGGTGGAAAATCATACTCACGATACGGTATGCTGGCACTGTGGAGAGAGCGGACATACAAGTGTAAATTGTTTGATCAAAAAGAGAGGAGAAGAAGCCAGACTACGAGCACCAAAAAGATACAGAGCCAGCGGGGAAGGGGGCAGTTACAGTGCTAATGTTGTTGAGAGGGACGCCGGGTCTGGTTGCTGACTCCATGGATACACTTCATATACAGGTGAGATTATGTTGGCAACAGATAACGGAAATACGTCAGATGATCTCACAGTATGGGCGGTGGACTCGGGAGCTACACATCACATGTGCAATGATAGGAGACTATTTTTACAATTATGGAATACGGAAATAAACGTTAGGTTAGGGGATACAACACGCATTAAAGTTACTCAACAAGGCATTGCCGTTATACATTCTACACAGCTTTGTGCTCTCTTCATTCCAGAGTTTCGAATCTCATTACTTTCGGTTTCTCAATTGGATCAATGCGGATTCAACACCCAGTTCGCAAACTCTACATGCATTATCAGTCGGGATGATCAAATTCTACTAGAGGCACCTATCAATAACGGTCTCTATAAATTCAATACTATTATACCCGAAGCACTTGCGACAACTCGTTCAATGACCCGAAATGCTCGTAATATTATTACAAAACCGCGGTCAAATATTTTAGATATAGCTCCATCCAGCACCCAGGCTGGAAATTTAAATTTCGAGGTCAATCCTACTCAGGCTCCCACTGAAGCGTCAGTGAAACAAATATCCCCGTCAGAACCAGAGGGAATGAAATCAAGTCCCTTATATCTCTGGCATCAGCGTTTAGCACATGTCAACTATCTTACTATGAAAAAGCTTCAACTGCTGGGTATAGTACCATGTTCAAGTTCCAATTATGACACCGATATAATTACGAAATGTTTAGTCTGTACGCAAGCCAAACATCAACAAGCGTATCAACGAATTCCAGTATCTAAAACGGTGAAACCATTCGAACTGATTCATTCAGACCTGTGTGGACCTATAAAAACCAGCATCGGTGGAGCTTCCTATTACATTTTATACATCGATGACTTTACACGTTATACGTCAACCTATTTCCTTATTACAAAATCCGCTATAGAGATATGTGAGAAATTCAAGCATTTTAAAGCGTGGATTGAGGCACAAGGATTTCGAATACAGTGATTCAGATGTGACAATGGTACAGGAGAATATAACAACCAGCTGTTCCAGCAAATACTCGGGGAAGCTGGTATTAGTTATGAACCATCACCTCCATATACTCAACATAAGAACGGGGTTTCAGAACGTATGATCAGAACCCTTAACACAAAAGCTAGATGCATTTTATTGAATGCCGGGTTGGATATGAAATTCTGGGCGGAGGCAATCAAGACCGCTACTTACCTACACCGTCGTACACCTACTTCAAGCCTAACCGGCTTCAAATCACCATATGAAGAGCTATTCAAGATAAAACCAAAATTAGAACACTTGCGAAGATTTGGCTGTACCGTTTACAAGTTCATACCAAAGGAACAACGAATTGACAAGAAATTCGGAATGAGATCACAAATATGTATGTTTCTTGGATACGTTCATGATACGACAAAGATATGGCGGTTATGGGATATCAATCGCAGGCGGGCAATTGAGTGCTCAAATGTCATCTTCAGGGAAGATGAGAATGCTTGTCAAGCAGTATTGGATGAAGACGCCATTCGTTTTATGAGTAAAGCGAATGAGGACACAGTTTTTCCGGAAAGAATGAATTCCGAAGCCGGTCATGAAACCGATTACGAATATCCACCTGAGAGTGATGAAAGTAGGTTGACTGTGTTTGGGGAAATGGCCAGTGCTAAGTGATAATTCTGTAGCGTTTAAACTGATGATATTGTAAACCGGATTCCCTTGACTTTGATGGTTGATGATACCCTCAAGTCTTCGCAGAATCAAGCCCTATTTATACATGTTGGAACCTATGCCAAGGCCCGCTTTCTAATACTAACTGATACAACGATAATAGAATAAGATAACGTTCCCGAAGATAACCCAGATAGAAAAGCGCCCCCGCATAGTCCCGTCCTCCATTCTAATTCCGACACGTAACCATGAACCTTGCAATTGCCAGTCATCGGGCTGTACCATACTATTATCCTAGACCTACTTCCCTAAGTAGAACAGCCTACAGCCGTAAGCCCCGCTTTCTATTCTATCCCGGGTGAGACACCCAATAGTAAGCGTGCCGTCATAATAGTATAGTACTAGTGTGGTAACACCGTGTGCCCCCACACTACCCGATACCTTTCTATACTTGTCCTTTCGTTACCCGACCGTCCTCGCATCACAACCCGTCACTCGTATTCCTCGTTGTCCTAAGCCTCTAGAACAGTGTTCCGTAGTTCCTGTAACACTACTCCCCCTTCCTAGACGTCGCCCTCGACCGTTAAAACCCTTCTATAATAAAACCCTGTGGGAAAAGTCATAGAGTAGGGAAAGGTATCGAGCTTAGTCCCGCCTGTTCCGTTGTCGCTTATGAGCCCGGTCATTATCGATCGCTGGGCCTCGACTTCGCGTATGGGGTCGTATGTTCGAGGTTGGCTGGAAATTCTCGTCTGCCAATGCCTCCTGTGGCTCGGGTGTTGCCAGTCGCTTTCGTGTATTTTGTTTTCTAGTGGGATCCGGGTCCTCACGATAGGGTCGCAGCAGCATCTCGTGAAAGACGTCGTGAACCTTCCATTCTACCGGAAGTTCGAGACGGTAAGCCCGATTGCCCACCACTGCTGAAACTGTAAATGGCCCGGTGAACTTGTCTGACCACTTGGAGTATCCTCCCAGGTTCCGAGTGTCCAGCAAGACTTTCTGACCGATAGTGAACCGCTGTACTGCCGGTCCTGGCTTTGACGCCATCCTGTCGAAGATCTTCTGTAGCGTGTCTCTCGCTAACTCATGAGCCGTGATGATCTCATCCAAGTAGTTGTTCCCGTTGGCATCTAATCGTTCGATCTCTGCATCCGTAGGCCAATCCGTTCGGGGGTGGAAGCCATAGTTGCAGTAGAACGGTGATTGTCCGGTCGACGTATGCTTCGCATTATTGTAGGCGTATTCGCAGATAGGTAACAGGTCCTTCCATTTCTTCCCTGTTCCTGCCGTATATGCCCGAATATAACCTTCCATGTGTTGGTTGGTTCGTTCCGTCTGGCCGTCGGTTTGCGGGTGGAATGAAGTAGAGAGTCTCCTACGAACCCCCAATCTTTCCGTAATTGCCGTCCAAAATGCTGACACGAACTGTGTTCCTCTATCAGAGACGATGCTCCTAGGAAGCCCGTGGAAACGCCAGATGTCTTTGACAAATGCGTTAGCGGTCTGTTCCGCGTTGATCCCCGTCATTGGAATGAAGTGAGCCATCTTCGTAAAACGGTCCACGACTACCAATACGTTACGGAATCCTGATTTCTCCTTGGGCATTTCTACTACGAAATCCATTGAGATATCAGTCCAAGGTGTGGTGGCTAACTCTAGGGGTTGAGGGAGTGACAAGTGTCTCCGACGTTGCTTGGCTCTCTGGCATACATCGCAAGTCTTGACGAAGTTGGCTACATCCGTGGACATTCCTGGCCACCAGTAGTTCCTATCGATCAACTCAAGGGTTTTATCCCTCCCTAGATGCCCCGCTACGGGTCGATCATGATGTTCTTCAATGACTTGCTTGACCGCGTAGCCCGGTACTACCCATCGACCATCGTGGGTGGGGTCATTCGAATCGGGATTCCATTCAGCGGCAGGCTCTACCTTTACGATAGCAGCCTCCGGTGGCCCAAAGATCTCAAGGTTTGAGTCAGGGAGGTGTTCATCCGGAACCATCCTCCGAACCCATCGTCTTTCCTGTTCATACCAACCCTGTAGTGGCTGAGGCAGCCCTACGCTTGGTGTGTCGTACCACTGATCCAACTGATTCCATTCCTCTTCGGGGTTGCCAATCACCTCAGACCCAGTTTCTATGCTGGTCCGTGATTTTCTGACAAATTGCTCTGCGTTGAGTAGCTGTTTTACGGGCTGCTCACGCATTACTCCCCCTTCCATTGCGAACTCCGGACGCCTTGTAAGTGCATCTGGCTTGCCATTCTTTTCGCCTGGTCGGTAATGGATCTTGAAGCGAAAAGGTGCTATCTTCTCGGCCCATCTGGCTTGTCTTCTCGACAACTTCTTGGTCGTTGTGAAATACTGCAGGTTTTGGTGATCCGAATGTATCTGGATAGGGATGTCCGTCCCTTCCAGCCAATGTCTCCAAGTCAAGAGGGCAGAAACTATTGCGAGCATCTCCTTGTCGTAGATCTCATAGTTAACCTCTGCCTCGTTGAACTTGCGAGAGTGGTAAGCTACCAGATGTAGAATACCGTCCTCGAACACCTGAGAGAGTATTGCGGCCTCAGCCCAGTCACTCGCATCAGTTTCCACGATTGCTTCGCGGTGTTCGTCATAGTGTCGGAGTATTGGAGCAGACGTAAATCTCCCTTTGAGCTCGTCGAACGCCTCTTGCTGTTCCCTGCCCCATTTCCATACGGAACCTTTCTTCAGGAGATCGGTCATAGGTCTGCAAACCTCGGAGTATCGGTGGATGAACCGTCTTAGGAAATTGGCGAAGCCGAGGAAGCATTGAAGTTCCTTGACCTTGGTTGGGGCTAACCAACCTTCGATCGCCTGGACTTTCTTTGGTGATACTCGGTTCCCTTTTCCTGATAGCATAAATCCCAGGAATTCTACCTCCTGTTGATACCACTCCGTTTTCTCGAGGTTTCCGTATAGATGGTGTCGTCGCAGTCGCTCCAAAACTTCCCGTACAAGAGTCGTATGCTCTTCTCTAGTCTTCGAATACATTAAGATGTCATCCAAGTAGACTACTACGCCTTGATCTA